CATCTTCTCGCTGCTGATGCTTACCTCAGACGGGCGAATTCTTTCGAATCATCCTTCATCATTTTGAAAGGATTTTCTTCTGCTCATTTCAGCATACATTTCTTCGATCATCGGTTTCCACAACCGGACACGTGCATTGATAAACCAATTAGATACCTGCCCAGATTCAAATAGCAGAACTCAGAAACAGTGACAAACTGGTAAGAAAGTTCTCAGAATATCCTGAAGCAGCAAGAACCTGATTTCTGGTTAATCCACTTTTTACTGCAAGCAAGTGCTTTTCTGTGTCCTTGGGGTACCTGAAAATTCTCCAAAGTTGAGTGATTACTTCAACATATTCATCAAAGTAAACCAGATTTATCACAGAATCTTACGGATGGAGAAAGTTCTGAAACATCCACGCCCTTAGAACTGAGACAGAGTTTTCAGGCAAGCCTCTCTGTGCCCTCCATAATTGATTATCTTTCCTTTTCAACTGCTGGAGAGCCAACTGCTTCCGAATGAACGTTGTCTCGAAGGACTTTTCCTTCTCCTTGGTGCACACTGTGTTAGAATGCATTCCCATTGCAAGGATACAATTAGTAATCTTCTCCCTCAGGCTTTTATACACAGAAGTGATTGTCTGGTAAGTATAATGAGAATGCAAGCGAGGATCCAAATCGGTGGCAGCATGAAATGCAGATGTAACAGTATGAATCTCGTCCAAGCATTGAGTGTACCTCTCATCAATCTGAATCATTATCAAGTTGTTCAAGAACAATATAACGACCAAAATCAGAAAACTAACAGTTATATTTATAATTCCGTGTACCTACCAGTTGTTGTAAAGTCAACAGATGGGATCTCTTGGCATCACCAGATGGTTTCGGCCATTGAGTCTCTAGGGAACTTGATGAGAATGGGACAAATCCAACTGTGGTTGATGAATGGCTAACTTGATCTGAACTTTCCAGTGGATAGCTTGCAATTTGGGAAAGTATGTCCTGAATGACGGAAAGATATCTTGATCCTGATATTGCTTGAGAGGGATGAACAGGACTACTACCATAACTGTAACTTAGAGAGAGGTCCATGGAGTTGCAGGCTAATTCTGTGTTGTTCAAGCAAGGCTGAGTAGCACCAGAAAAAGTCAGCTGTGAATACTGGTCCAGGAAATTGGTTCCTCCAACGATCACAGGTTCGGAAGTGGCTAGACTCAGAGAAAGCTCATTCCATAACTTGGAGTTCATAGTGTTGGATGGCATCCAGCCATTCTGAACCAGGTTTTCCATCGATGAAATGGTCTGGAAATCTGATCTTACTGGATTATCCCTAGCAATTGGCTGATTATAAAGAAAATGACCGTTTTCCCACTCGTTATTTGCATTACATAGAGACTCGTCACGTTCACAGTTTAGAGAACTTGCAAATGATGAGTTTGAAGCATTAGAGGAACTGTGTTCGAAGCAGGTTCTAAAAGTCTCTAATTGCTGGAACTGAGGGGCTGAAAATGCTGAATCTTTTGCATCCACTGGAGAAACAGAAGCAATAGGAATTGCTCCGGCTAGCTGATCTTGAAACTCAGCATTACTAGAGAGATTCAAACAACCTCCGGAAACATCCACCAAATCGTTCCGTTGTGGGGCAGTGAACATTGGAGAAGAGCCTAAGAACCCCAATTGATCAACTATATGATCATCTGCATCAGTAGCAGGGCATCCAGATTCCCGCAGAGTCAAAAGGATAGGAAATCCAGCTGCAAATGGCTCAAATCATTAGGGTTAAATTAATTGAACACACCGAGTTTGGAATGCGAAGAGGCAGAATCTCACCTACAATGACAGAATTTGTACTGGCCATATTCACCAGAGCATTCCTCAAGTCACTCTCCAACTTTGAAGCATTGTAGACGAAAACTCCCCATCTTTATCCTGCAGCATCAGCTCAGGCTAACATACTCGAACAAAGAAAGCAACCTTACATTTGATTAATCTTTGTCATCCAAAATAGGATGTGAAACTTATAGAGTGGAAGCCCTCACCAAATCTTCTGAAAAGGGCACCGTGGTTCTGAATCACTAAGCAAGTAATGGATGTGATGGCTTAGTAATGAACTTCAAACTTGCAAAGTATTAAACGCATAAAGACTGCTACACTGCTTACATGCTTTTATGGTCCTTGACTCACAGGAGATCTGAGACATCCCAAAGAAGCAAGAGAAGAAGATTCAAAGAACTTGGCTTTTGTATCTCCATAAAAAGGTGCAAGTTTGGAGAACCACTCACTCTTTGTTTAAGGCTGATGGCCCATGTCCTTCTCTCTGTGCCATCTCCTTTGTCCTGCTCACGACCGCTCATTTTCTGATCCACTGCAGTCATCGTAATCCAAATATCTGGATTCTCTTTGTTGAAACTTCTGTTCCTGCCAGGTCTTGTCAGTACCTTTTTTCAGAAAAGTCCGTTTCTTTCGGACAAAGTCCCTTTCTTTTTAGCTATACTGGACAAGGAAACAGAGGTGATGAGAAGAAGCCAGAGTAAATAAAGGAACAAAGTATTACACAACAACTGAGAACTTACGGCAATCAAATGTGAAAAAAGAGAAACTTCACTGTTTCACCAGTGTACTTTTGAACAGATAAAGTCTCGGAGAAAGAGAGAGAAAAGAGCCTGAAAATCATGATGCAAGCAAACCCAAACACCCCATCTGTTTGTTTTGGCTCTTATGGACTGCTTGAATCCGAACCATATGATGAAACCATGCAATCCGATGGACTTCATTTCTCGGATCAAGAATCCATTTTCCATTACAATGGCTTCTTGAATCCAGAGCTCTGCCATTGGATCTGATGTGTGATACAACCCCACTTTTTCCCTCATTTCTAAATATTTTCTCTGATTTTCTTTTGAGCTCTGACCATGTAGCTATAATGGAATCTGGAGCAATGACCAGAAACTACTAAGGAAATAATGGGGACCTACACTACAACCTCAATGCTGGCGCAACTCTTCCATCTAGCTGTTATTGAAAGAGTGGCTTCTGCCTTCTACTCTGCACTGCAGGCTTGGTAAGTGGGTTTAATTTCTAACCATCTCAATTGTCGCTCTGAACTCTAAATCCGATTACTGTCAAAGGTGAAGCAACATTTTTCAGGTTCAGGAGCCAAAACCTCTCTCTTGTACATTGGTTTTACTAATTACCCAAGAAAGAAAGAGAAGGGTCTTCTTCAATGAGTCTTTAATGCAAGAGTTTACTGGACAAAATGTGCTTAAACAGAGTACGGTTCGATTTTCCCAGAAAAGACAATACATTCATTAAACTCAAGTGTAATTATCATTCAGCTTCCATGTTGAATGATGAAGTAGCTCAGTGCTCGAGAATGATTTCCAGAAGCAAATTCTTTGACAGCACAATGACAAAAAAGAAAAAGAAGGAACTTAGAGATCTCAACTGGTTGGAAAGGGATTTAAGCCTTAGAGATCTTAACCGGTAGGAGTGTGAAAACTTTTCCTCGGGCATTTTAAAAACTTTGAAGGAAGTCCAACAGGAAAAGTCCAAAGATGGTATAATTGTATTGTTACAAATGGTATCAGAGCTAGACATCGGATAGTATTCCAAAAGAGAGATCTTACATTGGTTGGAGAGGGTAACGAATCATTCTTTATAAGGGTGTGCTTGGACCCAAATAAGTGAGTAAAATATAAATGAATTTCTTACCATTTCCACGTCGTTCATGGTAAGAAACTTGGAACCGTGGGGTCTGCTGCTACTTGCTTGGTTTGGCTGCAAACCCAAACAGAGATCTGGCAATGTCTGGTAGCTCTTTTTCCTGTCCCATTTTTGCTTTCACACATCCGTACTGCTAAAAGAGATAACTGATTGCTAACTTATTTTTCTCTAATGCAGCAGAAACACAGAAACTGGGCTCCATTTGAAACCAACAATTTTGACGAAGAAGAAAAGGGTTTCGACCGTACCATTAAAGCGACCAAATTCAGCCAAAACCGCACCCATTTCGTGGAATTGAAGAAGGTGAGAAAGGTTGATTCAGAGAGAGGTCCCATGGTGGGTCGTCGAAGTCCGAACCTCACCCATAACTCACGACACTGTGTGTGCTCAGTTGAAAGGACACAGACCAATCAAGCAATGGGCTTCTAGTTCCATCGTCTTTCTTTTTTTTTTTTTTTTTTTTTTTTTTTTTTTTTTTTTTTTTTTTTTTTTTTTTTTTTTTT